TGCCATATTGTGAGTATTAATGCACGAAGGGTGATGTCGTGCCATATTGTGAGTGTTAATGCACGAAGGGTGATGTTATGCTATATTGTGAGTTATGCACGAAGGGTGATGTCGTACCATGATATGAGAGTAAAAGCACGAAGGGTGATGTCGTGCCGTTTCTATTAATTTTATGGTGAGATTGAGAGTAAAAGCACGAAGGGTGATGCCGTGCATTTTTTCTTACTGTATTCACTATTCCTGTTGATTCATGGTATATTGACTGTTCCGGTGATCATTCTGTTGTAGTTCTTTATCTTGTATTCCCCTCAGTATGTCTCCCTTCCCGACATTTCCTGTTTAGTTCTTCACTCCTGTTATTTGCGTATACACTGTTAAATTGTACAAGTTGATTGTAGGTGCCTTGCCTTAGCCTCGTCACTACTTCGTCGAAGTTAGGCTCGACACTTACCAGTACATGGGGTCGGTTGTACTGATGCTGCACTATGCACTTTCTGTGCAGATTTTGATACCGACTCAGGTTGTTCAAGATTTTCTATTGGTCCGATGTCCGGAGACTCAAGGTAGATTTGTCGGCGTTCACAGAACTTGAAGTCCCCGTCTATCTTTTTATGTCCTATTGTTTTCTTTTATTCAGACAGTTGTATTTCTTTCTATTACTTGTAGTAAATTCTAGAATGCTCGTGAATTGTGATTCCAGATCCGGGTGGTAGTAATTAATACAGTTTTATGATATTCCGTACTTATTATATTTTATTTTAGTTAATTATTGTTATTTACTGAATGGAAATAAGGAATTGGTTTAATGATTTTCTAACGTTGGCTTGCCTGGCATGTGAAATGTTAGGCGCCATCATGGTCCCGTCGGTGAGAAATTTCGGGTCGTGACATGATCGGTCCCTGAATCTTGAGCTCGATAACCTGGCTTCAGATCTCATCTCGATATTACGGTGACGACCCTCGGTCCATCATGTTCCAATCTCGACTAGTTACACGAAGGGCGAATCCGATTTTAACCGTATACACAAGCCAAACATAATTCGAAAAATGTCTAAAGTTTTGGACTGTCTGGCCAAATTTCATTCGAAAATTTCGGAAGTTTTGGACATGCCAAAATTCATTCGAAAATATCAAATATTTCATAAATTTAGCTGTAGTTGAAGGTGATTTAAGACGGCTAACTTGCAAAAATATAGCAATTGTCTAAACTTCAAACCCGTAAATTTGAAGGTTTTAAAAGGGCTAACTTGCAAAAATATAGCAGCTCCAGCTATGCCTTGAATGGGGTCCTTAAATTGACTATCTCCGCATTTTCCCGATGTTTAGTTAATTGACTTTATCATTTTTATCTTGGTAAACTATCAATTATGTCAATTTATAAGTAGCTCATTATAAAAATTGGCCAATTCATAAAATATTACTAATATTAGCCAATTAGCTATTTGTAACAAAAAAATGTCTAATTTTTGCTTTCTTTTGAGTGGGTGTTATTAGAATAGATTGGGTATATCTTAAGGAGTTTGAATCTCAGTTTTGGGATGATTTGGTGAAGTTTTGAGTTGGTTTGAATTGAAAATTCGAAGTAAAAACTGAACATGAAAAAAAATGATATGTGTATCACAATGTGTATCATTTGTGTATCACATATGTGAACTCGATTTAATTATGAATTTTGATGCAAAATCAGTCCAAATCACCTCTAATCTTACTCAAATTTTGTATATTGACTTATCTATATGTTTTCAATGAATTTCAATTATACCCATTGGAAACGTTCTTTTTTTGCTTAGATTTTTGGAATATTGTATTTTGTTTTTGTATTCCATCACCTTATTTGCTACCTCATCCATGAGATTTCCTTTCCGTCTTGCACCTAATGTTGCTAATCATGCTTAAAAATATGAAAGGTGATTTTTGCATGTGGTTCTTTGAGAGAAATAACCTTATTTATTTGGTTTTTTAATTTTTATATGTGTTTGGTTAATTTTGATAAGTCTATGACTAATGGCTAGAGGTTGGTAAGTTGAGACTTATTTAGAACATTTGTGTAAGTTTCCCTTTTATTTTTATATAGTGACTGTTATTTCACTTTAAGTGTGGTATAAAAATAATACCATACTTGTAAAATATATAATCTCAAAATTACTAATCTTAAAATATAAAATTTATATTTATATTATCTATTACTTTATTAAAAGCACGAATGCCATTAGTGAAATATCGTTCGCTTTTTTTACCCTTTTAAAATAGAGTTCTTATTAGACAAAATAGTCATTTAGTTATTTTTCTAATATTTAAGACTTTGAATTCAACTAAGAAATTTACTTATTAAATCTTACCTTGTTTGAGCCATATAGAAAATCCTAATATTTAGGGTTTCTAAATCAATTAAAATCTAACATTATATAAATTATTTCCTTATTTGAACATGTAAAATAACAAGACTATTCCAAACTATATTTCGTGTGTGTTGTTTCAAAACAAACTTAATGGTAATGAGTTTGGTTTTGGTTTTTCTTTGTTAGTTTGGTTTTGGTTTTTACTTAATTTGATTTTTTTTTCCCAATTAAGTTCTCACATTTTAAAATCTTTTTTTCAAAACAACTAATTGTTATTGGAGTTTATATTCGTCATTAACAACCCCCTCCCTTTTTTCCTTTTCCCGTTTCAGCCCTTTCTTTTAATTAAAAGTTTATATTCTTTTCTATTATATTCATGTGGTCAATAGATCAAAAGCTACTAATTTCT